GCTCCGCCCGCCGCCGATGCGTGGCACGCGGTAGCGCGGGTGCGGCGAGGCGGCCCGGGGCCCGTGCGTGGCGTGCAGCGACTGGAGGAGGAGCTGGTCCGCGGCGCTGTCCTGCGCGAGCCGCCACGTGTCGTCCGTCGCCGAGAGGATCCTCCCGATGAGCTGCACCGCCGGGGCCGAGTCGAGCCACTCCACGTGCGGCGTGGCGATGCCCTCCTCCCCGTACAGCCGCACCTCGCGGCCGATGATGTGCTCGTTGAAGTGCTGCTGCAGCGTCTCGTTGGCGAGGTTGATGAGCAGCTGCTCGAACCCGCTGACCGCAAAGCTCTCGAAGCCGTAGATATCGAGGATCCCGATGCCACGCCGCGCACCGCCCTCCTCGTCGCCATCGCCTCCGCCGCCTCCGCCGCCTCCGCCGCCTCCGCCGCCTCCGCCGCCTCCGCCTCCGCCTCCGCCGCCGCTCAGCGCCTCGTTGCAGACGGCGACGAGCCACTTGAAGACTCCAGCGTACAGCACGGTCGCGAGCGCGTCTCGCTTGGCCGCCGCCTCCGAGGCGGAGAGCGGCCGGAAGATCTCGACCAGGCCTCCGCTCGAGCGGCGCCGCCGCGAGCCGCTGCACGGCGCCACGAGCCGGCGGCGGCAGAGCGCTCCCTCGAGCTCCTCGGCCGAGGTGCCGAGCAGCGAAGCCACCTCCGCCAGACGGGCTGGATCCTCGGGGAAGGCCTGGCCGCCCTCCCGCGGGTCGGCGGAGGGGCTGTCCCCGCCCCCGAAGCGGACCTCGCCCAGCAGCAGCACGGCGGCCAGCACCGCCCAGAGCTGCCTCCGCCCCTCCGCCCCGAGGCCCATCTCGGACAGGAGACCAGACACCTCGCCAAAGCCGGCGGCGCCGTACCGCTCGCCGGTAGCGGTGGCGGTGGCGGCGGCGGCGGCGGTGGTGGCGGCGGCGGTGGCGGCGCCCTCGCCGTCGAGGTACGAGAAGCGGCGGGCCGTGGCTGGCGAGGCCGCGTCCGGGAGAAGGAGAGCCGCGCGCGCCCGCTCACATAGCTCGGCTGGCGGCGCGTGCAGCAGTAGGTAGAGGATGTGGAAGTTGCCCTCGCCGGCGGCGGCGCCGGTGACACGCGTCCGCTCGAGCAGGAAGTCGACGATGCGCGCGCCGCAGATGCGCGACGGCGCGGTGGCGGCGGAGGAGGCGGCGGTGGCGGAGGAGGCGGCGGAGGAGGAGGCGGAGGCGGAGGCGGAGGCGGAGGAGTAGTGCACCTCGATGAGCTTCCCGAAGCGGCTCGAGTTACTGTTCCGCCCGGTGGAGGCGTTCCCAAAGGCCTCGAGCAGCGGGCTGGTGGCGAGCAGGAGAGCGGGGAGCGGAGCCTCCTCCTCCAGCTGCGCGATGAACTTGAGGACCGACTTGGCGCACTCTGTCTTGCCGGCGCCGGACTCGCCCGAGACGACAATGTACTGCTTGCCTGCTGCCAGCTCGGCGTGCGCCGCAGCCGCGACGGCGAAGACGTGCGGCGATGTGGCGCCCTGCGTGTAGTCCTCGAGGAGGACCGCGTCGTCGGCCGAGGCGTCGGAACCGCGAGGCGCCCACGGGTTGAGAGTGAGCAGGATCTCGCCCACCCACGTCGCGTTCTGGCGGGAGGCGAAGCGGCGCTCGACGGTGTCAGCGATGGTGTCGGCCGAAAGGACGTCGAGCGAGAGGAGGTCGTCGGTGGCAGACGTAGCGGGCTGGCCTCCTCTCGCGCCGCCGCCGCGTCGGCGCGCAGGCCTCGCCGCTCCGCCTCGAGCGAGTTGACCTGGCCCTCGTACGACCGGATGTCCTCGTCGCGCTCCGCGAAGACGCCGCGCCTCCTGGAGCTCTGCGTGAGCGGCGTCGCCGTCGACCGGGGCGCTGAGCGCCTGGAGCTGCCGATCGAGGAGCTCCAGCATCGATTTGAGCACCCCCGAAGAAGAATTCCTGCCTCGAATAGACAGCATCTGGGAGCCACTCGGCGCCAGTTCGAGCGGCGGTCGGCTCGGCCACTGCGGGTGCGACGCATGATAGAGCTGCTGGGCGCCGCATCGTGTACTACCGACCCACGCCAAGGCGCGGGGCGGTGGTGCTCGCCGGCGCTCGCGGTGCTTCGGTGCTCGAGCGCGCTCAACATTGTGGTCGTTCAGGGCGGCTCGCACAGCGCCCGCAGACACACACACACACACACACACACACACACACACACACACACACACACACACACACACACACACACACACACACACACACACACACACACACACACGCAAGGGCGAGGACACGCGCAGGGGCCGCACCTCTAGCGAAGCCCACAGAGTGGGAGACTCCTATCACCGCCCTGCCACCCACGTGAGCCTTTTGGCCGCCTCTGTCAGTGTGCCCGTGGTAGTGAGAGACTGCTGGTGAGAAGCCGGAGGAAGGTCGCTAGTCGAGAGAGATCGCCAGTGGAATAGGGAGTCCACCGTGCTGCGAGCCGCTGTCGCTGTCCCTTGTCAGGAGCAGGAGAACTAGGAGAGCGCAACCAGTAGGAGGCCCGCGCCTGCCCCCGTGCCGCCGGGTGCAACCTGTCCTATACGAGAGAGGAATCCCTGGGACCCTGTCGTGTGGGTGAACCCTGCCCATCACTCAGTTCCTGGCTCTTGCGAACATACCCGAAGGTGGACTGCTGACAGTTTTTGAGAGAGAGAGAGAGAGATTTTTAGCACAATACCAAACAACTCTACGTTCAGTTTTTGCGTGAGGACTTGAGTGACATTTTTAGATGCAAAAAGAAAAGAAAGAATACAGACGAGCCCAAACGAGGGATGGGGGAGGAGGACAGGGTGAGCAGGATTTTGGAAGGACAAAAAGAAAGAAAGAAATAAACAAACATACGACCCAAGGGAGGGAAAGGAGGACGGCACGCCGCCACCACACAGGGATTTTAAGAAGAGGGGTGTGGTGCGCTAGCCGCCCCTCCCCTTAATATGTTCTGTTTCGGCAGTTTCTTTTTGACACCTTCATTTGCCCTCATTCCAGCCCGCATCGGCTTCCAATGCACAGCCCGCCTCCACAGCGCAGCAAACTGTCGTGGCCGACGGCGGCGCACGGCGACACACCCAGCGTGCGCGGTCACCTCGCCGCTACGCTTTCGCTTGTGATGGTTCGCTCGCTCCTCCTCCTCGCCTGGAGGTGCATCACCACCTGTGTCGCGACCGCTGCTGCGCTCCTACTCTCCACGCACGGCCCAAGGCCGGCGGGGTTGAGGCGCACCTCGAGCGAGGTGCTCCGCCTGAGTCACCTGGACGCAGCCCCGTCGACGACGGAGATTGTTTTTGTCGGGGACGCGTCATGCGGCAAGAGCGAGCTCCTCTGCGAGGCGCTCCGTCACCGCCCCGTGGGCTTTGCCGCCGCCGACGAGGCGCCGGGTCTCGAGGCGCAGCGGGTCGGCGTCATCGTGTGCTCGGCCGTGCAGGCAGACGGTTTCGAGAGCCTCCTGCCGTACGTCAAGCGGTGGCGGCTCGCGCTGCGCCGCGACTTTGGCGGGCGGGTGCCGGTGGTGCTCGTCTGCACCAAGGCGGACCTCACCCCGATGCGGCTGCCGCTCATCCAAGCGCTCGAGGAGCAGGGCGTCGCCTGCCTGACCGTGTCGGCAAAGGTTGGGACCAATATTCGGCACCTTTGGCAGCTCTTTGCGCGCGGGCTGCCGCCTGCGCTGCTGTCGACGGCGGCGCGCCGCCACGGCCTCCTCCTCCGCCTCCAGGCGGTCGGGCGGGGGTGCGGCCCGCGCGCACGGCGCGCGCGGTGCCTGCGCGCAGTGCGGAGTATCCAGGCGGAGGCGCGCGGCCGGCTCTCGCGACGGAGGGCCTCCCTCGCCGCCGAGCGAACGAGGCGCCTGCGCCGCCGCGCCGTCGGCGCCGCCGGCGCGTCCGCGTGCGCCGTATGTGCGGCCGCCGCCGCCGCACTGCAGCAGCAGCAGCAGCAGCAGCCGATGCTTCTCGACGCTCGCAGCGCGGTGTCCGCCCACTGCTCCTCTCTGCTGACGCCCGAGCTGCTCGACCTCGCGTATGGCGCACTCCTCGTCGCCGCCGTCGCCGCCGCCGTCTTCGTGCAGAAGGTCGGCCTGCCCATGCTGTTCCAGCTCCGCCACCGCGGCGTCGCTCGCTATCGCTCCCTCCGCTGCAGGGAGCGACTCCGCCTCCGCTCCGCGTGTGCGGGGTGCGCGCACCGCCTCCGCAGGGTGCGCGCGCTCGTCCCTTGGCCCGGGGCGCACCCGTCGCCGGCCCGACCGCCGCCGCTCCAGCTGTCGGATGCCCCGCGCCCGAGCGCCGCGCCGCTCGGCGCCGCCGCAGTCGAGGCGTGCGCCGAGATGATGGAAGCCTTTGAGAAGCGCGCAGAGTCGCCCGCCAGCCCCGGCCGGCGCGCTCCACGCAGCCGCAGCGCCTCCGGCCGCCTGCCCACCCTCTGCGAGAGGGGAGACGGGTTCGGCCCCCTCGCGCTCCGGCGCGTGCTGACCTTCCCCTGAGGCGCTCCGGCCAGAGGCGCCTCTCCGCAGCCCGAGTGGTGTGTTGACAGTGGCGGTGCGTGATTTATTGTTGACAGTGGCGGTGCGTGATTTATTGAGCGAGCGTGGCGTTCTTTGGAGCGTATTGACTTTGTGTGTACGTATGCGTGAGTGTGTGTGTGTGTGTGTGTGCGAGCGAGTACGTATGTGCCTCTTGTACGTATATTATTTTATTAATCTACCAGCTATACCACATTTTCTGGCTCGCAGCTCTCACAGGAAAAAAAGTCTCCTTGCCATGCAGTATGAATGTGTATACGTGCTCGTGCACGAGAGGTGCACCAACCGCAGAAGCCAGAACGTCGTGTTTTGCCTTTGAAAACTGAACAGATTTTTTTTGTGCGTCTCTCGCGTTCTCACTTTTCTCTCCACACTCTAGCGCCGCCGTGTCGCGCACACATAGTGCGCACATGCTCTCCCCTCAAACTCACAGTCATGCTCTCATGGCTATGCACCGGCTCGCTCTCTTAGAGGACTAACTACACTCTACATGAATCCGGCGACGAGGCCGACGATGACTGCTACGAGCGCGACGGCGAGCCCGTCGTTCACGCGACTAGACCTGGATCCGTGCCGTCCTCGGATCCGCAGGTCGCCCTCCGTCTCGCAATCCCCCGCGCCTTGCGCAGCCTGCGGCGCGGCGGCGGCGGCGGCACGTCCGCCCCCCCCGCCCCCCACCCCTCCCAGCTCGACCCCGCGCGGCTCGTCGCCCGCCTTGCCGCCCGCGTGGTGCGTCTCGTCCGGCAGCGAAGCAGGCAGCCACTCCGTGGGGGCGGGATCCTTGGGGGCGGGAGCTGCTCGCCGCCCGCCCTCGCCGCCGCAGGAGCACTTTGCCAGCAGCGTCTCGTCCACCGCCCTCCCCTCCCCACCGTCCGCCCCCTGCGCCGCCCAGCTGACGGCGGCGTGCGTGGCGAGGCAGGCGAGGCAGAGGAGGAGGCCGGCGTACAGAAAGTGGAGCCGCACGAAGAGTGCGTCGGCGGCGGAGCCGGGCCGCGGCGGGTGCAGCTTGCACCACACCTCGCCCGCCATCCGGCCGAAGCCGAGAGTGTACCCGACGGCGAAGGAGGCGGCGGCGCCCGTCGCGTTTGCGCGCCGCCAGAGCACGCCTACCCGCAGACCCGGCCACGGGTCTGGGCGGGCAGGCCACGCTCGCGCCAAGTGCGGCGGGGGAGGGGGAAGGGGCCGAGGAGGTAGACAGAGACGATGGGCGGCGCGAGGTACGCCATCACCGCCTCCTTGTAGAGGAAGATCTGGTCGGAGAGCACGTCGATGATCGGCAGCCAGAGGAGCGTCAGCACCGCGAGCAGCGCGCAGAAGGCCTGGCCGACGCGGACCACCTGCAGTGGTTGTACGGAGCTGACAAGGCATTGCACACCTCGGAGATGGCGCAGTCGCAGCCGACCTCGTGCGGGGAGGCGGCGGGGCGGAGCCAGCCGCGGTAGAGGTCGAGGCAGAAGAGGGAGGCGGCGGCGGTGAAGACGGAGTCGAGCGAGGACATGCACGCCTTGGGGTGTGAACGACGCCTCCTCACCCCCCCTGCCCTGTGGGGGCCGAGTCGAGGGAGGGGGTGCGCACCGCGACCGCCGCGGCGAGGTTGAGGCCGAGGAGGCCGGGCGGCAGCGTGTGCTGGAGCAGGAGCGGGAAGGCCTGGTTGGGAGTGGCTGTCCCGTTGGCGGGGTAGAGCTCGGCGTCGAAGAGCTTGCGCGCGATGATGCCGGGGTCTGGGGGGGGGGGGAGGGCTGTTTTTTTTTTTGGGGTTTTTACGTTTTTGGGTCTTGTTTGTGTTGGCGGCTTGGGTTTGTTGGGCCCCTCTTTTGTGGTGGGGGGTGGGTGTGGGGCCTCTCCTCTTTGTTTTGGTTTCTCCGGGGCCGGCCTTTGTTTTTTTTTCTTTTTTTTCTCCCCCCCCTCCCTTTTGTTTT